AAAAAAAGGAGAATACAAAACAATTTATTTAATACTACAGGAAAATGCATGTAATTAGTATGAAAATTAACAAATAGACTCTAACTTGATTAGGCATACTATCTAGTAACTTTGTATCCCGAACAATGTATTTTTTCTTTACCATGAAAATCTTAGTATCTTTTCTCCTAAAAGATCCAATAATTCCATATAAACATTTAAAATTCTCTCAAAAGACTCGATGTTTTACCGTCGTTTTGTTATATAGAGTTCATCCAGAAGATGTCGTTCTTCATAGCTCATCCATCGTTCATCAGGCAACTCTTCTTCCTTCTGTAGCAACTGTTCATAGAGTCGAACTGGATTCCAGCCAGTCATTATGTCATAAGTAATTACACATCCCAAGGAATGTGACACTATTGAGACTTTACCCCCTTTTTCTTCAAAGTTTGGATTCCGAGAACAGAAAAGGGAATATAATCGATTCAGCTCTTGCTGAAGGCCTTTAACTAGCTGTTTGAAATAAGAAAATGTTATCATATTAGAGTTATCATTGACTGCTATAAACTTCGTTTCCAAACACCAATATATTAAGGAAAAAAACATACATTATTGACCAAATATAACTTATTAAAATTAACACAAGTACTTCAAAACCTTGCAAGAATGAAGTACATATATTTTAATGTATATCATCACTAAAGAATATAGGCAGATATTACCCACATAGATCCTTACCTAGTCCTTAAACCAACTGTATGAGCTAGCAGTTCCACAGATTTAAAAAAAAAAGTTCCATGCTGATTCCAGTAAGATAACCAAAGACCCTTAGAATTTCTTCACTGTAACTTAGCCATATGCAATTCTAAATTTTGTACCTTGTAGTTTTTAGACATGGTAAATTTTAGAAAAAGGATATCAGAGTTTATGTATGCATTTAGATAGAGTAATATAATGAAAAGCTATTGTATGACTGAAGAAAAAGCTAACGTTGATCTACTTGATATTTCTAAATTCCCATTAAGTTAGCAATATAGATATGAGTAAAAAGTTATTTTCTATGACTGGAAAGCAGGGCCTTTTTATGTTTAGAGGTTAATAATGTGGGAAGTGTCTTGGTAATTTTCTTTATAAAACTGCTTTCTTTGAAAGTAACCTCTAACAAATATTACTGAAATATCCCATAATGTCAGAAGCATAAGGTTCTTTTGTTACTCAAACTCATACTAGGCCCTCACCTGAGTTTTAAGGCAGCCCTCTCTTGTTCCTACCATTGCCTACTTCTACATTTGATTGTAAGTTTCCTTCTTGATCAATTTCTCATTTCAATACTTCTTAATATGCCAGCTGCTATTGTGACATACAAATATTAGTTATTTGCTGCTTCAGTTTTCAATCTTATTATATCTCAAGAGAAAAACTAGCTTCCATCAACTTTTAGTAAACATTCTTTACCTGCTGACATAAACTGAAAATCATTTGAGCACTTTATGATTGGCAGGGTCAGTAGTAACATAAAAGAGAGCATAATACTCTCTTTGTTGACATCTCAGAGTTCTATAATGCAATACTGAGGTCTAGTTAAAAGCTTTGAGACTGTGTATCATGTCCGATGAAATATATTCAGCCAATGAAGGAAGAAAAGGATAAGACCAGTTCCTAACATGTGGAAGGATAATAAACCGCCTTTCCTCTGGGGAGGAATGCAAAAGTTTTATTTTAATTAGTCATTTTATTTTTTTTCTCCCCGGAAAATAAAAAGAATTCCATGTATTAGTGCAATAGTTCTCCAACTTTCAACATGCACCAGAATCCCCTGGAGGGCTTGTTCAATACAGATTGCTAGGCACCATCTCATTTGATTCAGAAATTCTGACCGGGCCTGGGAATTCGCATTTCTAATAAGTTCCCAGAAGATGCTAATGCTGTTGGCCTGGGGACCACACCTTAGGAACTACTGATTTAGTGGCAAATGTACATAAAAACCTTCTAACACATGAGTTATAGGTAAAACTCTAGTTAATGTAGTTTGTTTATTTATTTTATTTTATTTTATTTTTTTTTGAGACAGAGTCTCACTGTGTTGCCCGGGCTAGAGTGCCGTGGCGTCAGCCTAGCTCACAGCAACCTCAAACTCCTGGGCTCAAGTGATCCTTCTGCCTCAGCCTCCCGAGTAGCTGAGACTACAGGCGGGCCTGGGAATTCGCATTTCTAATAAGTTCCCAGAAGATGCTAATGCTGCTGGCCTGGGGACCACACCTTAGGAACTACTGATTTAGTGGCAAATGTACATAAAAACCTTCTAAGACATGAGTTATAGGTAAAACTCTAGTTAATGTAGTTTGTTTATTTATTTTATTTTATTTTATTTTATTTATTTTTTTGAGACAGAGTCTCACTCTTTTGCCTGGGCTAGAGTGAGTGCCATGGCATCAGCCTAGCTCACAGCAACCTCAAACTCCTGGGCTCAAGTGATCCTTCTGCCTCAGCCTCCCGAGTAGCTGAGACTACAGGCGGGCCTGGGAATTCGCATTTCTAATAAGTTCCCAGAAGATGCTAATGCTGCTGGCCTGGGGACCACACCTTAGGAACTACTGATTTAGTGGCAAATGTACATAAAAACCTTCTAAGACATGAGTTATAGGTAAAACTCTAGTTAATGTAGTTTGTTTATTTATTTTATTTTATTTTATTTTTTTTTTGAGACAAGAGTCTCGCTTTGTTGCCCAGGCTAGAATGAGTGCCATGGCATCAGCCCAGCTCACAGCAACCTCAAACTCCTGGGCTCAAGCAATCCTCCTGCCTCAGCCTCCTGAGTAGCTGGGACTACAGGCACGCGCCACCATGCCCGACTAATTTTTTCTATATATTTTTAGTTGTCCAGCTAATTTCTTTCTATTTTTAGTAGAGATGGGGTCTCGCTCTTGCTCAGGCTGGTCTCGAACTCCTGAGCTCAAACAATCCGCCCGCCTCAGCCTCCCAGAGTGCTAGGATTACAGGCGTGAGCCACCGCACCCGGCCAAGTAGCAGGTTTTGAAACTGCATCTATGTGACTCCAAAGGCTCAGAGAGGAGGAGAAAAAAAGGCTCTTTCAAATACCTGTCAAATAAACTGAAGTTCATTCACCAGGCATGAGTTACTCCTAATCATTACTTATCCAAGGAAAGATATACTTTAAAATAATTTATTCCAGAATACTGCCTAATACCAAACTCGTGTCATATGGATTTTAATTTCAAGAATCAATTTTCTTTAAAAAATAAGAAGAATTTTTGCCCACCTCTCACTTAGGAAGCACACCTTTTGTTTTTCACAATGCCTCAAGCAGTGTTTCCCAAAATTCCCTGATGGCGTCGCCTGGGAGAACTATTAAAAATACAAACTCACAGGCTCCATCTCAGACCCACTGAATCAGAATCTCCAGGGGAATGGACCTGAGAAATTTATTTTTTTCTCATTTCCTTAATTTTTTATTTGAAAAAAAATTTCAAATTTATAAAATGTTGCAAAATAAAAATAGTACAAAGATTATCCATACATCCTTTATTCAGATCCACCTATTGTTAGCATTTTATCCCATTTGCTTTACTATTTGTTCTCTCTGCTCCTGTAACACACACACACACACACACACACACGTGCACACCCTCCACCAACCTTTTGGGGAATCATTTAAGGATTTATTACATGTACCATAGTCTTTTATCCCTAAATATCTCATTGCATATTTTCTAAAACTAGGAATATTCTTTTCTAAAATCATAGTTATCAACTTCATAAATTTATTTTGATATAATATTTCATCTAATATACCATCCATGTTTCCACTCAAGTCAGCTGATCCAATAATGTCCTTTTTACTGTAGTTTCTTCCATCCAGTACAGGATACAGTCTAGGATGAGATATTACATTTAGCTATCAGGTGTCTTTAGCTTCCTTTAATCTGGAACATTTTCCACAGCCATTCTTATTTTTAAAGAATACAGTTCTATTCCTCCTTTTTTATTACAATGTCTTCATTTTGTGCCTCACGTTTCCTTATAATTAGAATACTGCATAAGTGATGCTGTGTCCTCCTCTGGGTATCACATCTGGAAGCACCTAATGCCCATCTGTCTCTCAGGAACACCCAGTTTAGGTATTGCCTGATTTCTCCAGTGTATAATTACTGTTTCTCCTTTTAAAACTAATATGCAGTGTGTGGGGATATACTTTAAGATTATGCAAATATCCTGCTCATCAAAATATTGCCTTCAACTTCGTATCCATTGATGA